TTGCTTCAGCAAACACCCGATGCAAAAAAAGATGAGTATTTGCTTCGCTAAGGCATCCTCGTGCAAAAATAAATAAATAAATATTTATATTTATTTATAAATGTCAACATCTCTGAAAAATTTTTGATTTCCTATTTCACCCATAATTATTACACTAAAGACAATTATGCCCACAAAATATTAACTAGATAAACTTTATCACTATGACTTTTAAATTTTTTGCTAGATAAATTTTATCACTAATATTTTAAAATTTTTGCAAGATAAATTTTATCATCAAAATTTTTACTAGATAAACTTTATCACTATTACTTGTCAGTACATTTCAATTAAAATTCTAATATGATGTGAAAAAAATTGCTATTTTTTAGGATATAAACACAACCATCGAAAATTCATTATTCATTATTATATAATAAAAGATTAGAAGAGTAAAGAGTTAAACTCATATATTTTTCTTTCTTTCATACCTATTAGACTTCCAAAATATTTTAAACAACTTTATTTTTCCTATTTCACCCCTAATTATTATACTAAAGACAATTATGTTCAAAAAATATTAGCTAGATAAACGTTATCTCTATGAGTTCCAAATTTTTTGTTGGATAAACTTTATCACTAATATTCGAAAATTTTTGCTAGATAAATTTTATCACTATATATTAGTTAGATAAAATTTATCTTTATGATTTTCAAAATTTTTATTAGATAAACTTTATCACTGTAACTTGGCAGTACATTTTTCTTTTCTATTCAATTCGACAAATTCAACTAGAATTCTAATATGATACGAAAAAAAAATTGTTATGTTTGAGGTGATAAGCACAATCATCGAAAATTCATTATTCATTGTTATATAATAAAAGATTAGAAGAATAAAGAGCTAAACTCATATATTTTTTTTTTTTCATATCTATTAGAATTTTCAAAATATTTTAAAAAACTTTATTAGAAATATATATATATAGGTAGATATAGGAAGATAGACATATATCTCACCACTAACTTCATTAACATATTTGGTCTTATATCTCTGTAGGGTCGACGGTGCTTGATGTTGTCAACATGTGAGCTTTTTTTTTCTTTGTCAGAACATGTTTATTGCCGGTATGATATTTTCTTTCTTTGTTTTTCATCTATTTGGGTATGACTATTGCATAAATGCTCTATTTACCTTACAACAATTTTTGTAATTGGAACTAAAAATTGCTATTTTTTTAGGATATAAACACAACTACTGAAAATTCATTATTCATTATTAAATAATAAAAAAATTAGAAGAGTAAAGAGTTAAACCCATATATTTTTCTTTCTTTCATACCTATTAGACTTCCAAAATACTTTGAACAACTTTATTTTTCCTATTTCACCCCTAATTATTATACTAAAGACAATTATGCTCACAAAATATTAGCTAGATAAACTTTATCTCTATGACTTCCAAATTTTTTGTTGGATAAATTTTATCACTCATATTCTAAAATTTTTAATAGATAAATTTTATTGCTATATATTAGTTAGATAAAATTTATCTCTATGACTTTCAAAATTTTTACTAGATAAACTTTATCACTATAACTTGTCAGTACATTTTTCTTTTCTATTCAATTCGACAAATTCAACTAGAATTCTAATATGATATGAAAAACAATTGCTATTTTTTTAGGTGATAAGCACAATTATCGAAAATTCATTATTCATTGTTATATAATAAAAGATTAGAAGAGTAAAGAGCTAAACTCATATATTTTTCTTTTTTTTTTTCATACCTATTAGACTTTCAAAATATTTTGAACAACTATATTAGAAATATATATAGGTAGATATAGAAAGATAGACATATATCTCTCGAGTAACTTCATTAAAATATTTGGTCTTATATCTCTGTAGGGTCGACGGTGCTTGATGTTGTCAACCTGTGAGTTTTTTTTTCTCTGTCAAAACATGCCTATTGCCGGTATGGTATTTCCTTAACTTTGTTTTTCATCTATTTGGGTGTGGCTATTGCATAAATGCTCTATTTACCTTACAACAATTTTTGTAATTGGAACTAAAAATTGCTATTTTTTAGGATATAAACACAACCATCGAAAATTCATTATTCATTATTAAATAATAAAATATTAGAAGAGTAAAGAGTTAAACCTATATATTTTTCTTTCTTTCATACTTATTAGACTTCCAAAATATTTTGAAAAACTTTATTTTTCCTATTTCACCCCTAATTATTATACTAAAGACAATTATACTCACAAAATATTAGCTAGATAAATTTTATCTCTATGACTTTCAAATTTTTTGTTGGATAAACTTTATCACTAATAGTCCAAAATTTTTGCCAGATAAATTTTATCACTATATATTAGTTAGATAAAATTTATCTTTATGACTTTCAAAATTTTTACTAGATAAACTTTATCACTATAACTTGCCAGTACATTCTTCTTTTCTATTCAATTCGACAAATTCAACTAGAATTCTAATATGATATGAAAAAAAATTGCTATATTTTAGGTGATAAGTTCAATTATAAAAAATTCATCATGCATTGTTATATAATAAAAGATTAGAAAAATAAAGAGTTAAACTCATATATTTTTCTTTTTTTCATACCTATTAGACTTCCAAAATATTTTGAACAATTTTATTAGAAATATATATAGGCAGATATAGAAATATAGACATATATCTCTCCAGTAACTTCATTAATGTATTTGATCTTATATCTCTGCAGGGTCGACGATGCTTAATGTTGTCAACCTATGAGCTTTTTCTTTTCTCTATCAAAATATGCCTATTATTGGTATGATATTTTATTTACTTTGGTTTTCATCTATTTGTGTATGACTATTGCATAAATGCTCTATTTACCTTACAACAATTTTTGTAATGAAACTAAAATTAATTTGTATTCAATTGAATTGGTACTCCCATCAAAGTGATAATGAATGCCTAAAAAAAGTACTTTTCATAGAATGAAGAGCTTAATCTGTTAAACTAATCTCCTAATATTTAATTGTTTATTATTAGTAGGCTTGTAGTGTTTTATGAGTTGTTATATTATGAGTAGAATTAGTTTTGTTACTAGACTTCTTGAATTCATGTGGTGGTGGAATAGTTTTAGATTAGTAAATTATATTTAGAAGTTTTCTTAGTCTTATGTTATAATGCCAGAAATTTTTATTGGATTCAAGAAGTCATTGAATGCATATATCAGTAGTCTTTTTGCTTTGTCAACTTCATACACTTCGTATTTTTAAAAAATATAATCAAAATTTTATGATTTAAATTTTTTCACGTGCAACACACACGGTTGCATTACTAGTATTAATTGAAAAACAGAATGATGTTGTTTATTTGCCATAAACTACGTCGTTTTAAAACCCTATAACTCCATTCAAACTCGTCATTAGTGTCTGTATCTGTCTTTACCCCTTCTCTCTCCGTCGCTACTCAACCGTTGCTTAGCCACCACCGCCTCAACCCAATTCACCCGCATCTTGATCTTTACAACTTTTTTTGCTTTTGATGTTTCCTTCTCCCAAAACTAAGGCTTTTGTTTCGGCTTTGCTCCAAAAAATCCAAACTCCTATCAGCTACCAAACTCATCTTGAATTTGGAGCTCCTCTTTCAATCTTCTCAATTAATCAAGGGTTTGCATATTTGAAGATTGCTTCAAGCTCGTCTCTTACTTCTCCCCTTCTCTCTCGGATTCAATATGTTCTGGAAAGTTACTTCTCTCTTCTCTGGTAAGAGATACGATCCACATGCTAATACAACGGTTCTTATTCGTTCAATTTGGTTTGTGTAATTTGGATAATTGGAAATAATGTTTGAAATCTGACTCGTCTACTATTTGAATTTTACTTTTTTGTATGTTATTGTTTCTTTATATTTGTTTTAGACGGATCGAGCCAATGTCCAATTTTAATCCACTGAAGCTATTAAGTATATGCTTTGATACTTTAAGACAACGTTATGTACTGAATGCATCTTGTTGGCGTATTAAATGGTAGTGATTTATGATGATGTACAAAGGTGAATTTATGCACAATCAATAGTTTAATATATGATTCAAGATAATTAATGAAATAATCAATAAAACAATTAATAACGGAAGACAAATTGGGTTAATACAAGTAACACACAAATGTATAGTGGTTCGCTTAGGGTGATCTACTTCACTCCGAAGACGGCAATTGTGGCCGAAGGACTTTATTGATAAAGTAAAAGTTGCGCGAGAGAGAGAGAGGGCAAAGGTAAGCTCTAAGAGAGGTTGGATAGCTATGAGAGAGATAATTGTGTAAGGGTGTGTAGAGAGATGCCCCCTCATGTGGAGAGGGCTTAAAACTTATAGGCACAGAACCTTGGTTGAGATGGTGGCGTGATGGATAGGTCACTAGTTCTTCGAGGAGAATAAGTAAAATTAGGATAGGTATAATTAGAGATAGTTTTGAACTTTGAGAGTGGTTATCCCGAAAATTATTTCCCACGTGCACTAATATTCCTAGATCTCTTGAATTTTAGATTGGGCAGAATCCATGAGTTGGGCTTGAGCTGTTTTTTAGTTGATTTTGGCTTATCTCATTAATTGGACTTAAACCAGTTGGATCTCAACTCATCATTTGCCCCCCATGCCCCAAGCACTTGCAATGACCTAGGATTGAGGGCATGACTGAGCTCGAGCTCTCCTTCTAAGCGAACCAGGTACCTTGTTACCCATGGTAGCTTTTTCTTTTCTCCTATTTTATCGTTGGATACCCACTGTGCTATTACCAGGTTAGAGAGGATTCAATATCAAAATCCCCTTTTCCCCATTTAATGCATTTTCTCCATTTAATGCATTTTCTATAGGGTTTCAAGAGGTTAGTATTTATAGAGCCCATTTTACTCCTCTTCCCTTGTAACTCTTTTCCTTGAGAATTTGAAGCCTCCATTGAACGTTGGGAGGGATTTGAGGAGAGGGATTCATAGAGAGTGTTTCAGGAGAAAATTCACCAATGGAGAGGAGTGAGAAGCCAAAAGGTGGATCAACGAGCAAAGAAGGCAACAATGGTGGAAGCAACAGTGCCAAGGGAATAGGACGCATTGCAATCGATGCTGCAAGGCAGGCGGGTGACGCCAGCGGAGGAGAGAAAATGCTTGGGGTGTTGTGTGTACTAGTAGGTGCCCACGGCGCTGGGAGCAGCGATACCAGTGGTGCTGGTCTGGGAGGCCCTTTTGCATTAACTTGGGTGACATCCCTAACGCGCCAGGTGTCATCAACTGGTTGGAGATGGGTATGAGGACCACGGGTGGCGACGGTTTCATCGGGCCTAGAGCAAGCTCACGTAGTGGCAATAATAGCAGGAAAACCCTGTGTGTAGGAGGCGACGTCAGCAGGAGGAAAGTTTACACCCTTGAAGGCAGCGGCGCCAGAGGGAAGGGGGCGATGCCTTGGGTATGTCGAGTGAGGCCTAGATGTTGGGCGCTGTTCTTGGGCCAGGCCAAGGCGACGTCTCAGGCCACGCTGCTACTGATGACGAAGATGGCATAGGGGACACATTGAGCAACGCCTCAGGCACTGACGACATGTTGGGCGGCACCCCAAGCTTTGGCGATGCTGCAAGCGCTAGTGTAGACAAGCGCAGGGTTCTGGGTAGTGACTTAGGCAAGTGAAACTTGAGTGGTAGACTGTCAGGCGCCTATAGGGGGTATCAAATAGGTGCGCTAAAAACCCAAAGCAATGTCCTTGGCTTTGCTAGGGAGGGGGAGCGTGATACCTTTCCCCAAGGTAAGGCAAAGCTGCTCACCCATGTGTTCCTTATTTTTGGCGACATTGCTTCGATGTTGGTATTTTCCCAAAATTGACTTAGCTTTGACATTGGTTCTGACTTTGGCAGATGCCCACTCTAACAAGGACATAATGAATTAAACTACATGAGGCACCCAATGAGGCAAGGGGATCACTAGAGAAGACGGCTTGAAGGTAACTTCCATATTTAGTTCCATTGATTGCTACGACGATGTCGCCCGCATTGTATCTTCGTATCGTATCCCTACTACTATTATATGTAGTCAAGCCAAGGAGGATGAACCGACGTGTTATGACTCCTAAGGAGAGAATGTTTTTTATAAGGATATCCTGGAGGCGAGGTTGAGGTTTCTCATACTCGGGCCTATCTGTCGAGTCCTGGGACACTTGTCACTGACTCCAGGAAGGTTGACCTCCAATGATTGGAGGGTGATTCTAACATTCTTCTCATTTTGGCGGTTGGTCCATGGTGCTGATGTCCCTTCTCCTTTTGAGGAGTTTTTGGCCTTGTACGTAGTTCTAGATAACCCTACTCTTCATCAAGGGTGGTATCGCTTTGCCCCAAGGTAAGGTAAGTTTATCACTAGACTACCCTTGAATTGCCATAGCTGGAAGTCTAGGTTCTTCTTCATTGGAGGTGAGTGGGCCGTTAAGGAAGATCGCAATTTAGTGCCTTCAATGTGGGACACTGTTCCGAGGACCATGCTAGGTAAGAGTTCTACCCTTACTTTTATGTCTGATTGTCATGTCCCTGTAGTTACTGCACATTTGGTTTCTTTGCAGCTCCCCCCACATTATCTCCAGAGCAAGTGAGTAGGCTCCAGGCTATGTCGGATCATCCCTTCAAGGAGTTTTCGGCCATCACGTCTGCATCAGGAAAGGTATTTGATCATTCCAATCAACTTTTGGTAATTGTGACTGTGACACCCCAAAAATTGGGGGTCCTTTTTTTTTTCGTGAATGCCGCACAACCTAACATCACGTTAATAGTATCCCTTTAACTGGAATAATAACTCACATGGGAAATCCTTATTCCTTTAATCATTTAATCCTATCGAGGTTCAATACCCCCAATATATTTCATTTAAGGTCCATTTGTATTATTGGAAGCAAGAACCTTAAAGCCCAAAAGTATGGCAACACAATTAAAAAAAATTTCTGGTTTTTGGAAAGCGTACCAGTACGCGTATCGGTACGCTTGGCCAATTTTTCCCTGTTTCACGTATTTTCGAAATCCAATCCATTTCAAACCCTCTCATTTTCATCCAAAACATGCATGATGGAGTTTTTTTCACATAAAATCTCATTTGTACAAGTCCATTACAATTTATTTACATGCCAAAATGAAGTTTTAACAAGACTTTACAACAAAACCAAGGTTAAGGACCACATGTGGGCCCTTCTTCACCCTTGAGACTCCGAATGAGAGCCATTCATCGGCGTGCATCCCGCATCTGAAATATTTTCTCGTATAAGGTGAGCCAACGCTTAATAGAATATTTTCTACAGAGGTTACTCCGTCCCTAGATGCATATGCAATGTTTATGTGCAACACTTAACCATCATTTCTCATTCCAACAAGAACATGTATGTTGAAAAATCATAATGTCATGCCGTGAAATGAGATGAGACTCACTCACACACCCTAACCCGAGTCCACACTGACTCCCACAACACAATGCAATGCACATGTGTCATAAATCAGTCATTGGTGAAACACATCCAATGATCTTTTGAAATACAATTCATGTGTTTTGAAAACCATTTCATTGTTGGATGTCTCCCATCAAATGAACATTTATATAACAAAACCATGTATCTTTGTTGGGTATCGAATTTTGGAATCACACCGCTGGCTCTGTACGCCATTACACTTTTTTGAAATTTCACCTCAGGGGAGTGTATGAACCAAGTAACCGGGTCTTTCACCCGAGAGAGTGTCTTGCCTTTCTTGCTATATCCGATACAAGTTTTTCTTTCATGCAACTATGCGACTCAGTCAGATTTTCAATCCAACTTTTCCCGAGCCTATCACCAATCACCAAGTATGATAATTAATCCAACCATGCACACACACACACTCATACTCATGACCATGGATGTATTTTCCCCGTGCAATATGCAATGTAATGCACCATTGCAATGTCGATGTCATGCCCAATATTCTAGGAATGCTAATGAGCAATTTAACCACATATTTCAACATATGTCATGACAAATTACATCATAAGCATATAATTACCATTCTTTATCACAATGTCAAAATATTAATGAACGTATACCAACATTTATATCCCATTAATTCATAACTATGCTATCACATAATCCATGTCAATAGCACATTTAAATCACAAGGCACATTATAAACATATAGCATGCCCACATAAAACCCAATTTCATGGAATTTTACAAGCACTTCCATATAACCCAATTAAGCTAGAAATTTGTTTAGGCCATTTCTATACCCCTTTTTCTAATTTCCATGAATATAGGCAAGTCATAAGTCATCTCATACATATAACCATTACATATGTACACCATAGGATAGAAATAGTCCAAAGTAGGAGGAAACCCTACCTCTTGGAGCGTGAATAGAAGGTAGAAACTTCAAGAACTCCAATACCATCCCAAAAACTTGATTTTCTCAAAATTTCTTCTTTGGATCTTCGATGAAATCCCTCATTCTTGGGACGTACGCGTAGCCTTCGCTGCGTAGATGAAGTTTAACTCTTGGTCCAAGCGATTCCGACCAACGGAACTCCTTGGATTGAAGAAAGAAATGTAGAAATCTAGGTTTTCTCTCTTCTCTCCCTTCTCTTCTCTTCAACGTGTGAGATCAGCTAATTTAGGGGTGAAAGTATCTGAATTTTCAAATATTTAACCCCTATTTATACTTTTAATTGTGCGGTCCATATTGCTTCACACGTTTATTACTTCCGGGGTCCCTTTTTAACCTGGAACGACTTAATTAATTTTCGGTTTCAGTTCAGATTAATTTTATTTGAAATTTTATCTAATTATAAGAAAATTTTATAAATTTCATTTTTGAGGACCTTTGTGAGGTCATTAGTCACTCAATTGTCTCGTAAAATGTACAAAATCTGACTACTCAAAATTCGACGAAATTTGACATAACAACCTGATTTCACGATACGAGTTCAACGGTGAGGTCAGTTGCATCATCCGAGTTGTAGAAAAATATTGATTTTAAACTCGCATTATAGTGACAAATTACCATGTTGCCTTTTTTTTTTCAAAAAAGTTTAAATTTTTTTGGATTTTTACATTTTTCCCCCTTAAAAGAATTTCGTCCCCGAAATTCACATACACATATACATTCAAACACATGCATATGCAACAGTCATGCAATACTACAAGACTATAAAAGTGTACCTCCATTCTCAAATAAGAAAGGGTAATTGGTACGGATAGTGTCCTCGCGCTTCCATGTCGCCTCCTCCATTTCTCGGTGCTGGCGCAACACCTTTACTAGCCTTACGGTCTTGCCTCGCAAAACCTGATCCCAGCTATCCGTAATGCACACAGGTCCCTCCTCGAAGGTCCCATCAGCATCCATAATAAGCTCGCCCTAATCCACCACATGAGTTAGATCTGGGGTGTATTTTTGAAGCATGGAGACATGGAATACTGCATGAACACCTGATAGATTTGGAGGTAACGCCAACTGATAAGCAACTATACCAACACTCTTGAGTACCTCAAAGGGCCCAATATACCTTGGTGATAGCTTTCCCCGCTTACCAAACCTAACCACTCCTCTTTTAGGCATCACCTTCAAGAAGACATGATCTCCCACCTCAAACTCTAAAGGTCACTGCTGTCTGTTGGTGTAGCTCTTCTGTAGGCTCTAAGCCGTGAGAAGACGCTTTCGAATCAAGTCCACCTTGTCCGAGGTGTCTCTTATCAACTTCAGACCCGTAGAAGATCTTTCTCCTACTTTCATCCAACAAATCGAAGAATGACATGGCCTCCCATATAGTGCCTCATAGGGTGCCATGTGAATGCTCGCCTGATAACTATTGTTGTAGGCGAATTTTACTAAGGGTAAATGCTCCTCCCAACTACCCTTGAGATCTAGGATGCATGCCCATAGCATGTCCTCTAATGTCTGGATGATCCTCTCAGACTGACCGTCTGTCTGGGGATGAAAAATAGTGATCATCATCAACTGTGTCCCCATAGCTCGCTGGAAACTCTCCCAAAAATGAGCCGTAAACCTGGGATCATCATCTGATACTATAAATACGGGCACCCCATGCAACTGGACAATCTCCCGTATATACAACCTATAGAATTCCTGTAATGTGAAGGTCATTCGTACAACCAAGAAGTGTGTCGACTTCGTAAGCCGGTCCACTATCACCCATACTGCGTCATGTCCCCCCGATGTCCGTGGAAAATGAGTCACAAAATTCATTGTGATATGCTCCTACTTCCACTCATCTACCTGCAAAGGCTGGAGTAATCCCGCTGGTCTCTGGTGCTCAGCCTTAACCTGCTAACATGTGAGACATTATCTAATAAAGTCTCCAACATCTCTCTTCATCTCACTCTAATAATACTGGCGACGAAGATCATGGTACATCTTCGTGCCACCTAGATACACAACAAAACGGGAGCAGTGAAACTCTCTGAGAATCTCCTCCCTTAGCTTCGCAGACTGGGAATCCACAATCCTTCCCCTAAACCGAATGAATGGTCATAGTGAATGGTCCAGCCCTCGTCACCTGTACTTGTCTGTACTTAGTCCCTGACCGATGATAACTCTATATCCTGTCCCTAGGACTCAATCACTCTACTCAGTAGGGAAGGTGTAGTCACCAAGCTCCCTAAAATACCCTGA